TGTTCTTTACCATTTATTAATAGTTTACATAAACTTGACTCTGATTTCAACATCTTTATAGTATCAAACACTCTCTTGGCATGGAAAGATGTGGTAAATTATTTGAATATTCCTTATACTCTTTCTATAAAATCTCCTATTTTGTGTAAAGCTGATCTACCCCCTGCTATTCAAAACATTGGTTTTCGATCATGGAGACTACAGGGGATTTTGGAATTAGATCAGATATTTGACAACAAGAATCTGAAATCATTTTTGTTATTAAAATAGGAATTTCATTTACCAAATAACGACTTTATAAATTTTTTTTGACATTTTCTAGAATGCCCAATTCTATAAGCCCTACGTTTATGGCACCTTTTGCCAAAGGGAGTTCCTGAAAAATTCAGGCCCTGGCCTTTTATTGTGATCCTAGTCACAAAGGGTTACCACCCCAGAAAGTCCTACGTTTATGCCACATTTTGCCAAAGGGAGTTCCCGGAGAATCCAGATGTTTCTGAAAACCCCGGGCCCTGGCCTTTTATCCTAGCCAAAAAGGCTTACCACCCCAACCAACAGTTTTATGCTTTATTCAACCAAAATCTGTCATATATTTTTATTCTATACTTCAAACTTTTCCAGCATCCAACACAAACTTTTTGTTAATAGCCAATAGCAGAATCTTTGTATAAACAGGTGTCTGCCAACCTTGTTTTAGAGCTGGATCTTTTGTTAGATGAGAAGTTATCTGAAGTTTCAGTTCTGGGTCAATGCCCAGCAGCCTCCTTGGGACATATCCCGGACCAGCTCCCAAATTGTTGGACTTTTCCTAGTCCTACCAGGTTAAAACGTGAGTCAGAGGCTTTAAATAAATTTTATCAATTTAATTAATTAAATGGATAAATCTTTACAGAGCTCCGGGTGTCAGAGCTCCGGGTGTCAGCTGGACACACACCCCCACACCCTTAAACCCCCATATTTATCGTTGTCTCTCTTCAGCCCCGCCTGGGGGCCCTTCAGTAAGAAAGATCCTCCATCCAGGACAGTTCAATCATCAGGGCCCGGTTTTTCAAAAGGTTTAATCTGGATAAAATTGATCCGGATTTAGTAATCCTGTTTTTGCGATCCGTGATCACGTAATCCAGCTTACTTTTTGAGCCAGTTTTTCAAAGCAACATTGGATTGGATCAATCTGATCCGTATAGGAACTTTTCAGGATCACTAAATCTGGATTACCAGTGCTCAATCACAATGTAGATGGATAGATAGGCCTATGTAAAGATCAACAAGTAGAATAGCCAGTGTGGGGTAAATATAACTTTATTTTTATTAGAAATTAAAACACACATTTAAAAAAAAAAAACAATAAAAACCCCACCTCATCCTCTTCCAGCAGTCCGTTTATCTGAGACCTACAACACAAACACTCTACATTGAGGTATTTATAATAAGTTACAAATATAGATGTAAATTTAAAAAAAAATTGTTAAAAGTCAAAAACTCCACAATAATTTCAGACTTCCTCATCTGATATGGAGAGAGTAGCTTGTCTGAGCAAAGCCGAGGTGAATCTCAGATCTGACCTTGGTTTGCTGCAGTTTGGTCAGAGTCAGTTGTTCCTCGGCCAGATGAAGCTGTGCTTCTGCCCTTTCAGTCTCTTTTTGCAATTGTTGAAGGTGATTTAAAAAAATCAGTGATTGCCATTCTTTGCATTTTCTTGGTTATTCTGTAATCATTGCATGCATCATTAATAAATATTCTAAAAACAAAAATATTTTCCATTGTGATGAATATATATATATATATATATATATATATATATATATATATATATATATATATATATATATATATATATATATATATATATATATATATATATATCAATTAGTGACTGAATAAAATGTATTGTTTCTGGTCAATTTTGCCAGCTGTTTGCTGTAGGCCTATACTGAAAGCCTAAATATGTTAAAGCCAACAATCACTATAGCCTGACAGATGAACAAATAAAATTAAAACCTTATAAATAAATAGTATATCTCGTAAGATACTGCATGATCCAAAAATAGTATTATTTAATACATTTTTTAAGTTTTCATTACATTTAGGGCATAAAATCCACACTAAATCCACCCTTCTGATGGGATCAGTTTAATCCAGGTTTTTTGGATCAAAGTGATCCAAATCCTACAAAAAAGGTCTGAAAAACCCAAAGTAAAGGTTTGATCCGAATCAAAACCAAGATTAGATTACGTGATCTAATCCGATTAGGTAATCCGTTTTTTCTTTTGAAAAACCCATTTTCAAGATTTGATCCAATCCCTTATCCAAAATCCTAGTGGATTACTTTTGAAAATCCAGGCCCAGTTGTTAGGCAGAACAGCAAACCTGCACAGAAAAAGTTACACAAACACATAACAGAGCCTGCAAGAGTGAGAGCCTTCCCCCCCACACACATATATACACACACACACACACACACACACACACACACACACACACACACACACACACACACACACACACACACACATACAGCTAAAGTCAGAATTATTAGCCCCTTTGACTTTTTTTTCTTTTTAACATATTTTCCAAATGATGATCAAGAAAATTTTTACAGTATGTCTGATAATATTTTCTTATTTGTTTTATTTCGGCTAGAGCAAAATCAGTTAATAACTTTTTGAAAGTCACTTTAAAATCAATATTATTAGCCCCTTTAAGCTATTTGTTTTGGATAGTCTACCGAACAAACCATCATTATACAATAACTTGCCCAGTTAACCTAACCTGCCTAGTTAACTTAATTACCCTAGTTAAGCCTTTAAATATCACTTTGTGTCAAAGTGTCTTAAAAAATATTTAGTTAAACATTATTAACTATTATCATGGCAAAGATAAAACAAATTAGTTATTAGAGATGAGTTATTAACACTATTATGTTCAGAAATGTGCTGAAAAAAATCGATCTTCACACATCACAAAGGCCTCTTCACCCTTCACTGTGTATTACTCCATCCACATACAGCCAGCAACAAGCGGAGACGCTACAGTTTGACAAATATTACTGTTGTTAGACAAAAAACATTACTTTTGAGGCTTTTTTAGTCATGAATATAGTTGTTTAGATTGCAACTATGCCGTTTATTTGTAAAAATAGTGCCTATTTAAAAATATTTACAATATTTTAATTGTATATTAAAATATTGTAAATATTTTAATATACAATTTCTGAGAGACAGCTCGTCGGCGGCAAAAGTCGGTTGACGTTGTCTATCCACAAGATGGCGCCAGGACCGCATGTTAAGCCCTTGCTTGGTTTGTTTTTCTGAGTGCGGATAAGAAGCTGAAAAACGGAAGCGCCGCAGTTTTTAAGGTGGACCGGATAAAGTCAATAAGAAGCTGCGAACAAGAAGCTGGATTCACCCTCGTTCCTCTTTATCGCAAACACAATCCTTTATTAATCCAGGGTCGCCACTACAACGGAATGAACCGCCGACTTATCCAGCACGTTTTACGCAGCGGATGCCTTTCCAGCCGCAACCCATCTCTGGGAAACAATACACTCATACACTATGGATAATCTAGCCAACCCAATTCACCTGTACTGCATGTCTTTGGACGGTGGGGGAAATCAGAGCACCCGGAGGAAACCCATGCGAACGCAGGGACAACATGCAAAATCCACTCAAAAATGCCAACTGACCCAGTCGAGGCTCGAACCAGCGACCTTGCTGCGAGGCAATAGCACTACTGCGCAACCGCATAGCCAAAATTTCACCAAAAAAATGTATACATTTCTGAAATTTTTTAAATATAATTTAATTACCATAAAATTAAACATTACTGTATGATTAAAATAATAAATAAACTAGCCATGACAAGTAAGTCCACAACACGTGAAACAAAGCTTTATTTAAACTTGTTCTAACAATCATGTGTGACAAAACTGCATGTTCTGCTGCATCTCCACACAGCTGGGCCAGTTCATATGATGAGCAGGTCTTCACCTGTGTTTGCCATCATCATCAGCACTATCATCCTCTGCTGCAGTCAGACTAAAACAGGTTTGAGACATAAGGCTGTCAATGCCTTAGAAACTGATTTTGAAGATGAAGAGAACACAGCAATGTCTGTCAGGGTCTCGTCAACAGCACTACAGCATCTCCAACATCCTATCCAGCACACTGCTGCGCTTCTTCATCCTTAATGCACACAGCACCAGTCTGAGGAGTGAGGACATTTCAGATCATACAAAACACATATTAAAGATATATAACAGGCATATATAATAGGTCATTTAGTGTTCAAAAATACAAAAATAAAAATAATATCCTGTTTCCATTTTATCAACTATAGCTACAAATGAACAGATAAAACAAATAAATTATGGTTTTATTTAGATTTATTAATATTCCATGTAATGTTAGCTAAGTAAACAGTGTAGATAACAGTAAATTCTACTTAGCCTATAGTGTAAACCTAGTAGGCTATAAGTGTAAACTCAAGTGTTATTTTAAATCTAGGGACCAAAAACTGATATTTCTGTAGAATGATTCAACTATGACAGGTTACATGATTATAAAATTCATTTTTAGGAGACAGTAGAACCTTAATTAAACACACCCGTATCAGGTAATCAATCACTTATTAGATATACTGATAAATACACCAGCAGGTGTGTTGAAGCAAGTTGGAGAAAATCAGCAGGACACCAGCTCTCCAGGTTTGGACACCCCTGCAGTGGACCATTCTGTGTAGAAAATGAGTATTTAAAAGAAGAATTGCTAACATTTGTAGTACATTAAGCAGTATTTTAAATGATAAATACATGCAAACAAATAAGGGCAATCGTAAAAATGTTTTATGATAGGCTAAGTGGTTTGATAGTATGAAAACACTGAGAAACAGCGTCCATTCTTTACGCACTCCGTGACAATAGGTGGCGGTATGAAGCTTGATTCACAACCAGCTAATAAAATGAAAGAAGAAGATGACGCCTCTTTGCGCCGACTGACGTTGTGCGCGTGCACGAGATCGAGTGCTTTAGTTAAGTAGACTGACGTTAGTTATAATAATTCATTAATCAGGCAGTTTAGAAAGTCGCACTTTACCACTCCAACATGAGATTCACTATTAGCGCAGCTAAACCTGAGGACTGCAAAGATATAGAACGTATGATTATGGTGAGCAAACGACACGCGTAAAAAACAACAACATATTGTTAGGGCAGAATAAATTTATAGTATTTGTAAATGTTTTATTGTAGGAATTGGCTGTTTATGAAAATATGCCCGACCAAGTAAAGATATCTCATAAAGGTAAATGTAAATTAGCTTAATTATATGAAGTTTAAAAGCAGCAAAATAGATTACTGTTCACTAAGTTACTGTAATGTCAAAGTTTGCTATAACAGTACTGGCTTGCTTTTTTCTTCTATTATTTAGAGTTGGAGAGAGATGGATTTGGACCAAATCCTTTTTACCATTGTCTTGTAGCTGAGGTACCTGAGGAGCACAAGTCTAAAGATGGTATGACCCTTAAAAAAACAAAATTAATAGCGTCATAAACCCTTACCTTGCACTATATGATTTTTTTATAGTGTTCCTACATCTCTGGATATTTCAGATACTTTGTACTGGCCGAAACATTTTTTGTCAATGTGTCAATCAAATGGAACTGATCCAAGTTTGTTATTGTTTCGTTTATTTAAAAAAAAAAAACATCTTTGCAGGGGCAGTTCTATTTTTTATTTATTTTAATATGATGTGGTACAGGGTATAGATACATATATAGGTTGTTTCCAATCACATGGTTCTGGTCACATGAGAAATTTAAACAGTGGCGCCCCCAGAAAGTTTTCCAGAAGAGGTCACACCAAATCTTGGGGTGGCACACAAAAAATATTGAATTCAGTGAATTGCTATATTTTTGTTTTTGGTAAATGAAATAATGTGATTTCAATTCATTCATCATAAAATATTGCAATTTATTCCTTGAAATAATTCAGCAAGTACATGTGCAAACCAAATAAAAATCAGCATTTAGTTTAAAAACACTTTTCAGGTCAGTTATTTTTCACATATGTTTATTGTACAGAATATAGTACATACAATTTCTAAAATTAGTGAAAAATAATGAATTTATCTATAAAACAAATGAACAAACTGAACAAAAGGCATGTGTATACATAATGTATACATATATATATATATATATATATATATATATATATATATATATATATATATATATATATATATATATATATATAAAATGTACAACCTCGAGAACCCAAAGTTGTGCATAAACTCTACAAACTAAACTAAATATATAAACTAAACTAAAATATATTTGCATGTCATTGAGGCGGTAGATACTGCATAAGCAGGAAAAAATACTTTAGTAAATACTTGTGTCTTCTGTCAAAAGAAGGTGGTCTTTTTTTACAGAAGGAATTTGTATTTTTCACACACATGTAATAGACAAAAAGTTCCTGTTTAGATATGTTTTACCGGCACAAACAGTACACCTACTTAGTTTACGTATATGTAGACTGTTATGTTTTTATGCACAGCAAACTATAGAATTATCTATGTGTTAATTAAAATATCTTTATTGCATATAAAACTGTTGCCATCTCAGCGTGTTTGAAATTGGTTGTTATTCGCAAAACTGCTACCATGTTGAAATGTTATTTATTCAATGTTTGTACTATTCTACATGCCACTCTTTTAGAACCACTCCTGCTTCCTTCTAGGCCAATAGAAGCGTACAGTGTTAGATGATTTGGGCCCTGTCATACACCTGCCGCAATAAGGCGCAAGACATGTTTGCCGCGACGTGTTGCTATTTTTAGGCCAGTGCAGCAGTAATTTCCCCTCTTTTCGCCACTTTTAAATGGCAAATCCATTTGCGCCAATTTGTGGACTCATATGTGTGTTCTGAGAAACCAAAAAAGACAATAGACCAATAGACCAGCTGAAAAAGTCCAGCAACAGAGTGCGTTAGTTGTGTGCCTTAAATGCTTACACATTGCTTAATACAATGCAAATATCTTTACAAACAATAAATAATTAAATGAATAACGTATTGCAAATATTATTTTCTGCAAAAATATAAAAACCATTGCCCCAATTTTCTATTTAAAGGGAAGATTTTTTCAGCACAATTCTACAAATAATAGTTTTAATAACTAATTTCTAATAACTGATTTATCTTGTCTTGATAATTTATTTATGATTTTTCTTGTCTTGCCATGATGACAGTACATAATATTTTACTAATATAATTACTATATTTTTTAAGACACTTTTATACATATTAAAGTGACATTTAAAGACTTAACTGGGTTAATTAGGTTTACTAGGCAAGTTAGGGTAATTATGCAAGTTATTGTATAGCAATAGTTTGTTCTGTTGACTATCGAAATTGTTTAAAGGGGCTAATAATTTTTACCTTAAAATGGCTGGTAAAAAATGTAATACTGCTTTTATTCCAGTCAAAATAAAACAAATAAAACTTTTTCCAGAAGAAAAAATATTATCAGACATACTGTAAAAATTGCTTTGCTCTGTAAACATCATTAGAAAAAAAAAATCAAAGGGGGCTAATAATTCTGACTTCAACTGTATCTAAGTTTTTTGACCACACTTCATTATTATTGTTCATTTATTCGTTTGCTGTAAATTAGAACTGAAATTAAAAATAGATTTGAAACAAATCTATGTGCTTAACAAAAAAAAATAATTTATAGGCTAATTGATGTCTTCAGCAGACTGCATAAAACACCATTTCCTTAATCCACGAAAAGGGAGACAGAAAGTACAGAGGCTGAATGGAGGAGGCTTATTCTTTATCCTTGTGCTGCAGATGATCTGTTTACCGATACTGATACTGTTTTTTTCACTAGTGAAGTGTTCAGTTTTTTCACGCAAAAAGTATGCCATGTAAGCAGCAAATGTGCCATGGTGCGACGCATCTGACTCTTAAAGGGAATGGGAGATGAGACTCTTATTGGTTTACGCTCAAAACACACCCATAACTCATTAAGAGAATAAGCACAACCCTGTTAGACCATGCGCTGCAGCCCAAACAAGTTTTTCCATCCTTAAAATAGCAAAAGTAGATTCAGACACACCCTTAATGCTTTTGCCCCTAGATCAGGGATGGGCAAACTTGATCCTCGAGGGCCGGTGTCCCTGCAGAGTTTTGTTTCAACACTAGTCAAACACACCTGAACAAACTAATCATTGTCTTCAAGATCACTCGAACTCTATTGACCTTATTCTCTGCCGACGAGTGGGCGCAACCATTTGAATCTTTTTGGCTTGAGATTTCCGGTCTCATTCACTTCCATTCATTTTAGACATTAAAAACTGCTCATTACGCTGCTTGATGTTGCAATTTGATATTTTCTTGTTATATTATTCTACTTGGTCAGTATAGTCATGCAAACATTTGTTTGTAGAGCAAGTAGTTTGACCGTTTTCTGTCGTTTATTATTCCTAGTCATTTCTCCCATAGGCGACTGAATCGGAAGTTCTAAGACAATTACGAAAACAGGCGCACTTCCGCATTTTAGAATAAGGTCAATAGAGAGGTCTGTTTGAATAGGGTTGGAGCTAAACTGTGCAGGAGATTGCCCACCCTTGCCCTAGATCAGTGGTCACCAAACTTGTTCCTGGAGGGCCGGTGTCCAGCAGATTTTAGCTCCAACCCTAATCAAACACACCTGAACAAGCTAATCAAGGTCTTACTAGGTATACTTGAAACATCCAGGCAGGTGTATTGAGGCAAGTTGGAGCAAAACCCTGCAGGGACAACGGCCCTCCAGGACCGAGATTGGTGACCCCTGCCCTAGATGATTAAATAGAGCCCTATGTTGTTAAACTGCTGTGACGACTGCTATGTTGTTAAATTTTATTTTCAGCAGAACTCTTCCATCTGCTGCACTAGTCATGTCATTCTCTATTCAGCAATCAAATCCCTGATTAACTAGTTGTTCCCAGCTTTTGTTGTGATTTGTTTTTTTATTGTTACTAGTAAAAAAAACTAATTATAAAGTTCTGTAAATCAAGTCTTAAGAGTCAAAATGGAGCTATGATAATTTGTGAATTAAAATACAATTATTTAATAAGAATCATTTGTTAACAATAAATTATTGACAAAAGTGTGAATTTTGGACTGTAAGCAAAAGATCTCCAAGGTGTTTCATTGTTCCTGTTATCTGTGTTTTTAGTTTAAAAAGACATAATTCTGCTATTTTAACTGGTAACAAGAATTAAAAATAATAAAAAAGGTAACTCAAATGGTTAAATAAATGCTGTATACTAGGTCTTGTGCACTTACAATACATTAGTGGTCATATCTGTCATGAAAATATGTTTGACATCCCTAATGCTTACAGCAGTTGTCTTTTCGTAGGAAACACCACGGTTGGCTATGTTATCTTTTTCTATACGTATAGCACCTGGAAAGGCAGGACTGTCTATATGGAAGATCTGTATGTGATGCCTGAGTTTAGAGGTGTGTAAATCTTACCAATAATCAAGAATTAAAAAAAAAAAAAAAAGTTTAATAAATCAATCATCTCTGCTTGCTTTGCAGGTAATGGGATTGGAAAGGCTTTACTAGGAGCTGTTGCTAAAGTAGGTTAAAAATTATGTCTATATATATGTAGTTGACAATTTTTTTATATGTGAAACACCACTTTGAAAAAAAGTTATATTTATGTAATTTGAAATCTGTGTTTGAGAAAATATAAGGGGTCACTAGCTTATTTCACTGTTTAAAACAAAAACAAAAAAAGTCTTATGGTGTGACAGCAATAACTGAAAATTGTTATAAATCTGTATAAACATTGCATAAAGAATTAACAACATCAGCAATAATACACAGTACAATAATAGCAATAGTAATACACTCTAAACTAATTTATTGTAATAAATCAATTGCATAATACATTTTTTTATTTAATGCACATTTTTAATATGTGATAGCACAGTTTGAGTTCACTTGGACAATCCTAAGTTTATCTTAAAAACTACTAAAGACTGAATTTGAACATAATAACTACAATGTCAGTGTGCAAAAAAAGCACTTCAAGAACACGACATAAGTGTACTTAAAATATATTTCAATGCACTTTTTGGGTAGTAGCAATTTCTGTGTTGTTTTATTTGTACTTAAGTGTCACATAGTGTAAATGTAATTCAATTTATACTTTCAAATTCATTTAAATTATACTTTTAAGAAATACACTTATAACATATTTTTGAACCAGTAGATTGCTATATACTAAAAACAGGGTTCATACCATCATGGAAAACCTGGAAAAGTCATGGTATTTTTACTTGGCATTTTCCTGGCCCAGAAAAGTTGTGGAAAGTCATGGAAAACAGTTATCTGTATACTTGAGTATAGGTTATTTACCTTTTTTCTTTCCTTGGCCAATCACATACTCTCACATTATTGGTGTGGTGTTAGCATTATCTAAATTAATTTTACATAGATATAAATATTAATTTACGTCACGGTGGTGCAGTGGGTAGCACAATTGCCTCACAGCAAAAAGGTTGCTGGTTTGAGCCTCAGCAGGGTCAGTTGGCATTTCTGTGTGGAGTTTGCTTGTTCTCCCCGTGTTGGCATGGGTTTCCTCCAGGTGCTCTGGTTTCCCCCACAGTCCAAACACATGTGCTGTAGGTGAATTGGATAAACTAAAATTGTCCATAGTGTATGTGTGTGAATGGGTGTTTCCCAGTGATGGGTTGCAGCTAGAAGGGCATTCGCTGCGTAAAACATGCTGAATAAGTTGGCGGTTCATTCTGCTGTGACGACCCCAAATTAACAAATAGACTAATTCGAAAAGAGAATTAATGAATACATATCAATTCAAATTAAATAGATTGTTGTGTGTTTTACAATATGCTGTAATAAATTTTAACGTATGGTTTTTTTTACCACGCATATATAGACATTGCATTGCATGTATATTAAAAGATCTATCTATATATAAAAAAGATCACTATCTCTATTCGACCCAACACATGATCTTAATTCAGCTTTTCTACGATTCAGCCAATTATATTTTCAAGGTCAGGAGAGAAGCTTAAAGGTGGCTGCACAGGTCCTCACAGGAACATGAACACCTTCAAATTACGTTAAAACTGTCACATACTGTATTTATAAGGTATAATTCACCCAGAAATGTAATTTCTGTCTCATGTAATGATTTATTTGCGGTCACAAAATCCCACGTGAGCTGACCACGAGCTACCAAGAACGCGCGCCCATGCATGTAGCACGCCAATGACGGCTACTTTAGTGAACAGAACCTGCATATGCTGTAAATAGCAAGTTTTTCTTTCTGTGTAGCCGTCTGTGTGATGTCCTAGTGTCTTAACTGTGTTCTGCTCAGCTCACTGACCATCAGCGATTGATGGTCGGCAGTATACTCCATCCTTCAGCTGAGTTGATGCCTGCATCTGCCCGGTCTATCTGCCATCAGCCTAAAGCCTGGTTTATTCTCGACGCGTCTGCTTGTTCGCTTTGCAGAGGTTCGCTTTGGGTGCGCCCGGCATGATTTTGGCTGGCGGTGCGTCGGGCATTTTTTGAGACTCAAGCGCACAGTGCGCGTGCCGCCGCAACTGATTTGAGTGGAATATGATACACTTTGAAGAGATTTTGTCTGAAACAATACGACTGTACACACATCTAATGACCCGTGATCAGAGAGATAACCTAGTGATTAATAATTCTTGGCTAGAAATAGCATGGGAAAGGAGAAAGTTTTTGTTAAAAGGTTTGGAAAAACCTGAAGAATAAATTTATTAAAACCAAAAGAGGCCATGCCAAAAGTGGAGACCAGGTACACAATCACAGAATATGTTTTTCCACCATTTATAGGTTTTACACTTATGTATTTTGTTTAATTTTGAATTTAAAAATTTAGTTACAAAACTAATGAAGTCACAGAAGTATTTCTTTGATAACTGGGAAGGAATATTTAAACCTATCGGTTTACAATATACTGATGCCCTATCTCCGGGCTTTATTGGTGATGATGATCTGTAATGTTTTACCATCATTGCCTTTTTAGCATAAGAAGAGGACAGAAACTAGCCAGACAATAATGTGTGAATTGTTGTCCACTATTTTTTAGTAACTGTGCTTTTTTTTGCGATAATAAAACATATTTGTAGAGTATTTCATGTTCTGTTGTCATTAATTACAAATACAGAATATGTTTTCCACCAGTAACACTGATTTATGTGTGGAGGGGGCTAAATCTGAAAAAGATTTAAAAAAAAATATATATATATATATATTTTTTTTTTCTTCTATTCGTGCCATAATTAAAATATATTTGTAAAGCAACTCATGTTATCTTGTGATTAATATTATAATAAACTTGAAATGGTAAAACTGGCCGAGATATGAACAAAAGCAAGTGATTTGCAAGAAAAAAAAATCTTGAATTGTTATAAAAATACTTATAATCATTAAAATAATGTATAAAAATAATACAAATAATACTTCTCTGTTTATCCGTCTGACTTTACGGTGGGTTTCTTTTGACCGCCCCCTGTCGTTTTAAAGAATATCACAACGGCGAACGCGAAAAGCCTCGACCATTTCGCGAGGTGCGCACGCAGTCAGCGGAAGTGTGTGATGTGGCGCCAGGGGCGAGTATTTTCCAGATTAATTGTCTGTATGGGCTGTTCTCCTTTTTTTGTCTCACCATTTTCATTATGGTGCTTTCCTTGTACACAAATAAGCCTTTTCTCTGTGAGTCAGTCCGTTTAATTAGTTTTCTAATTTTTGTTTATAAAACAGAAAATGATCAAATGTTTCAACTGTGCTAAATTTAAAACCTTCTCACAAACATATATATATTTTTTTTTTTTTCAAATATTTGTTGGCGAATTTGCCCAGAAATTCACAGAAGCCCTGAAAAAAAAAGCAATCTTGGTGGTGAGGGGAAAAAAAAGAAAACTAATAACGTTATAGCCATAAAAGTTAAAACACTGTAGGTGTTTATTATCTAAGTTTTTGCAAGACATGCTGTTCTATAATTAATTAATTTAGCATAGTTTGGTAACGTTTAAACTGTCTATATTGCATCTCCATTTATCACATTTGATTTATATGTTAATATTTTTGTGGGTGGTAAGACTGTTTGAAAACATCCCGTTTCTGCATGTATTCGCCTCCAAAATTGATTACATCTATCCAGCGCTGCATCATGCCTGACTCCAACTTTTAAGGGTAGGCCAAGCCGCATTCCAGTCACCGAAGTGTTACATTAAATTACTTGTAATTTTCCAATTAAAATAAGTCATTTAATAACTAAAGATTGGCTAGAATGCATTTAAACATTAGGCTTTAAAAAGCATTAACAGATGAACCAAGACGTTATCTAGGCAGATAAATGTTTTTTATTCGAAGTGTCAGTGCAAAAAAAAAAAAACAAGAAAATACAATAAAACTAAAATATGGAAAAATTGCCATTTGGTACAGCACTTTGCCCACAATTATGATTATTAAGTTGAAATTGGTTAAAATGCACGTGTGTTGTTTCAACAACAACAACAACAATAATAATATAGTAGTACTAGGATTGTAATGATTATGTTAATAATCATAGTAGTAAGAATCATGATATTAATAATAATATTAATAGAAATAATAATAATATTAGTTATAATAATAGTAATATTAATAAGAATATTAATAATAATAATAGTAATAACAATAACAGTAATAATAATATTGATAATAGTAATAATATTAAGAATATTAACATTTATTAGCCCATAAGAAACTCCTAGTTGGCTTTCACCCGCTGCGCCTATTTTAATATATTTTTTTACTAGGCCTATTGTGTTAATGTCGCTTGGTCCACTCTCCTTGATTTGAGGACTAGTGCCTACACTGTAAGAAAAAAAATCATAAAAAAAAGGTCAAATGACTGGCAGCTACGGCTGCCAAACAAAAACCATTAAATTACGGTAAAATGTCTTTGTTCAAATAAAGTGCAAAAAATAATAAATCTACAGATATTTTCATTAAAATTTTTACAGAAAAATACTGTTATTTTACAGACTTTTCCTTGATTATTGCGAACAAATCTGTTCAATAAAGTTACACACTAAGAGTTTTACAAAGAAACAGTGTTATTATACAGACTTTTCTTAGATTATCATGATCAAACACCATCTATAAAGTGATTGCACTAAAAGTTCAAGAGAAAACAATGTTATTTAAAAGAATTTTCCCTAAATCATTAAGATTAAACACCTTTAATAAAATGCCAAGACATGCTCATGATCGTAATTTAACAGTTTTATTTTGGATTAAATTTTTTTGGAAAAAACAACAAACGAGATACAACTGATTAAAATTCTCACAACTTTAAAATTACAGTTGTTACATTTTATTAAATAGTGTTTATGTAAAACATGTAGAGGTTTAAGTTCTTAAAGAAAATGGAACTGTAACGTTAAGGGGACGTTGACAAATGAGTGCAGATCCAAATGCAGGTTTATTACACAGAGATGGTCAGGCAAACAACAGTCAACACAGGGGCAAACAGATGTAACATTCTGCAGGAAATCCACTGTCATGGTCAAATAACAGGCAAATGGTC